AGGAGAAATAAGCACCACCTCAGGGTTATTCAACCCAGTTTTAGCTAAGAATATCAGAACGTAGACATTTTCTAATATAGAAATTTTCATCTGGATGTACAATTATTCAGCTCAGAAATTACTTCAGATACTACCTTAGAAAAACAGACTTGGGGTAGCTGGATAATAATTCTCAATGCAAAAGCCTAAAATATGTTTTTATTTAGTGACAGGCAGCAGTAGGAAGAAAGGACAGCTCTGATGTTCTCGTCAACATACTGAGGCAACATACAGAACAATAAAGGGTTGGGTGAGTAGGTTTTTTGCTTAAAACAAAATATTTTTTAAGTTCTTCTTAAAATCAGACACAAGTCCTCAGTGCCAGTGTATGTGAAAATGTTTTTACCACTTTTCCAATTTTTTTTAAAGGTTCCCTAATTTTTTCTAGTCCTGAGGTATTTCAGATTCTTTTAATGTGCCAGAACTAAAATGTTTTCACACTTTTTATTGAAAACACTGCTTTAATTTTGTGATCTCTTCCTGCATCTGCCATAAAAATGTTAGCAGGAAAAATTCTTTTCAACCAAATATTCACCAATTTCTTAAATTTTGTAAAATCCAAGAACTCAGTAACTCTATTTAGATTAATAGTGATGCCACATGCTTTAAAGGAACGTAGGTTTACTAGAGATCTCATTCCTTTTCACATGACCCACTCTGCCCAAATTTCAATTTGAATTGGCATATGAATCCTACTTTAAAAGATATTGTTACAGCAGGCAGGGCACTGCCTTGGTATGGAGTGTTGAATCCTGTCATTGCTTCTTCTTAAACAATACCCGTGTTCTATATCAGAGAGAGTTGCCTCACATTAAAATAATTCCTTTATAAACAGTTTGCTCTGAGTTCAGGGCAGCTCCTGCCTAGAAGTTCAGCAATGTACTCTGTTTCTACACTTCTATGACATCTTTTTGGTTTTAGCTCTAAAAGGCTACACCCACATGTACTCAAACATGCGCACGCTTAGGCACACACATGCACAAAATGGGCCAGAACATGAGTCATGGCAAGCTCTTCTACGTTTCCATAGATGCACCTCAGCATAGTCACAACAATACAGAGCTCCCCAAAATGTTCTGCTTTAGACTTTTATCTCTGGCAGTGCAAAGCTGTATGAGCCATACGGATAAGAGGGGAGCTTATGCTTTGGAGTCACCCAAGCCCTTTCTTTTTTATGCATCTGCTGACAGGAGTACCAACTGGTTCTCTTCTGGCAGGGCTGCTCAGTGGGATGGGGATTCTGTTCACCAGGACATGGGCAAAGCCACTATCCCTTTTCACATCAGACAATGCCATATTCCTTATGCTGCTATATTATTTCAGTTTCATGTTTCTACTGACCACAGATTTTGGTTGTCATGTACCTCTGTGCAAAATGAGTGAAGGGTGAACAGAGAATCCAGAAGCACATGTGTCTACACTCCATTTGTACTAATGCAAATGATGATGCAAAGTGAAAGGCGAGGGTAAATTATGTACCTTGGGGCAGGTTGTGAGCCTTTACAGGCAACATTGATTAATTACTGACATAAACAGCCTGATTAACTTAGTAAGATTATAATCACGTCTCAAGCCTTTTGTTTGTACAACAGTAAATCAAAGGAAAGTGAAATGGCAGAAATTAGATTTGTATGTTTCTGTATGTCTGTATATGCATATACAAAATACATCCCCACAGCATAGACAGAAGGGAGGAATAAGGATCAGCCTGTTGGTTTTCCTTAAGTGAAGACAAACCTGTGGTTTATTTTCTATAATTTGGATGCAACCAGTCAACGTGTGCTGTGCAGCTGTGACATAAAACTTCTTTCAAAGAGGGCTAATACTAAAGAAAGATATTGCAAATATGTGACCTGTGCTCTGGTTTTGTAAAGTATTTTTCTAATTTCATCGCTCCAGGATAGAGCTTTATAACTTAAGCCAGAATCGTTGAAAAATGTTGCTACTTTGCTACTGCAGGCAAAATCTGTACAGAATAGGATTTATAATATATACAAACTCTCAGAGAGTTCCTTTAAACTTACGGAAACTCCTATAATAGAGTTTTACTGAAGTCCAAAATAAGACCTGGCCAAAGTTTTTGCTGAATACGTTGAATTCTAAAGCAGACCTGGGTCTCAGCATGATTTTCCTACTGTCTCTTGAACAAAAACCACCTTATATTCCATGCAGGAGCATAACCCATAAAACATGCACAATAAGATGTATAGAAATCTATCTCTCCCAGCCTAATGAATTTAATCAAGATCAACAGTTGTGTGAGATCAGTTTTGGCAGAAACTTGTGCAGGTGCAGATTTCTGTTGTTATTCAATCAAACCATTAAACAGGAACTCCCTTGTGCTTGAATAACATCTACCTTTATCTCCGACGTTTTAATGAGTGAGCAGCATATGTTTTAGACACAGAACCATGCTGGATACAAAGCACACACACCATGACAGACACTATAAGATTCACAGGGTAGTTTTTTCCTGAAATATTTTGAAAGACAAAATACAGGCTCCTGTCCTACAGCTGTCTTGGCTGTAGCTCTTGAATAACGAGGATTTTGCCTGGGCATAGAGGATATGAAGGCAGGAGAAAAGCCACAGAAACCAGTGTTTGTCTGACAACAATCTTCTTTCTCCAGTGTGGGTGTATCTGCATCATACTACATCCAGCATTGTTTGCACCAGCCAAGGAAGGCATTGGCAGACAGGTGTCTTCCATTTTCCTCCTTCCTTTTGCCCTCCAGCACTGTCCTTACTTGCTACCAGCATTTTCTCACCACTGTTATGTTATAGCTCAGCCTGTTTTCCAGGTGCAAGAGCAGGAGGTGAGGTTTTAGCAAAAAATGCCCCCATTTGTCTCCTGCTCCATCTTGACTTTGTGGGGACCCCTCTGCACTCCAAATGTCCTAAGAGGTTAGGGCATTTCTCCAAAGGAAAATTCCTGCATTGCCTGCTTAATGTTGACACCAGAAAGCATAATACAACTGGTTTTCCCCATGCAACTTCCTTCCTGAGTACTATGGCTCCCTCAAAGTAACAGCAAAGCACCCATTACCTGAGCACAATCTGCCTTAGGGGGAAGCACAGAGCTGGTGCTGGCAGGCAGACATACCCTGCTTGAGGCTGGGGACAGATCCAGAACCCAACAAGGCAGGTGGAAAGATGGTCATTGACTACGGTGAGGTCTGGATCAGATCCCTGTGGAAAAATATGCTTGCTGTGAACTGCATAAGGGGAAATTCCATTTATAGAGGAGTCAAGTGAAATGCTCAAATTGCTTCAATCCATGAACAAATTGCATTTCTACTTATAATGAATTTTGTCTTATAGGCCCCAGTCCAGTCAGGCACTTAAGAACCTGCATATCTTTTGGCTGATGAATAAATCTCTCATAGGCAGTATGTCTGGGCTGCTGCATCTGGGCAGAAGTGCAAGTTTTTCAGTGAAAAATAAACAGGTTTTATTTATTTTACTCAGAGATATATGAAACGTAATTTTGCAGTAGCATGAGATTAAAAAAATCCTGACATTTTCAATCTTACATTTAACTGCCTGTGTGTTTCGGAAATTAACTTGCTTCGCTTTTAATATGTAACCATATAACTTAGGTCTTGGCACAATTTCATCTTTTTTAGCTAATATTCTCCATTCATTTGCATGTGTCACACAGTTTAGCAAAAAATGTTTAGACGTTACATTTTATAACATGTCTTGCTTAATAAAAAGCATAAGAGAAAATTAAAACACAATTTCATTTTAAACTGCTCACAGATCGCATCTTATATTGCCAAAATCACCTAATGCGGCTTTCATCTGACTTGTAACATTTTACTTCTTGTGTCTTAAATTGCACGTAATGACCATTTCAGAACTATCTGATAGCTGAAGTTTCAGATTTGGAGATGTATCTTTTTTGTTTATTTTTGTACCCCAACTGTGAAAGTAGACTTCAAAATCATTACTTTGGTTAGTCCAAGTTTTTGAACTTCCCAGTGGTTGCTGCTATATAAAAACATAGATATGTATTTAAATACATGCTGCACTTTTCCTGCCCCAGACAGACATCTGGCCAGTTCCCATCTGCTGACTGTGACCTGAAGCATTTTTTTTTTCCCTCCCTCATTAGTTTGAGCTTTTGCTGAGGTTCAGTAGCACACATGCTGATCCATCAGTTGTTTTTATTGGCAAACAGGTCCATCATTAACAATCAGAAACTGTAGCATCTGCTAATTTAATAGGGAACCACATCCTATTGTACATTAGGTGTTTAGCAGTGTGGGCATTTATCAAAACAATGATTAAGTGAAATACACGTGTGTAATATTGAAGATATTTTAGGCTATAAATAATACATTTCAATTTCTCTTCATCTTTAAACTAACAAACGCATTTTACCACAGGGAAAAATTTGTCTAAATCTTTCTGGATAGTTTAACTCTGGAAACCTTGGTCAACACAATGCTTGTCTGTTAAAATCATTTGCATGACTTTTTATGCTGGGTGGGCTGCCCCTACCAGCAAACACAAAAGATCATGAAGGGTTTGAAGACTGCAGAACTGGTGTAGCATATCTCAGTGGCACGCAGCCCACGTGGGCTTTTGCTTCCAGAAGCTTAGAGTTGAAAAGTAATGAATTAACTTCATTCAGAAACACATTTTCAATACTTTAATGGCAGCAGCAGCAGCAGCACAAATTGCCTCGTACTTAAGCAATTCCCTTAGTGGAAAGAAAACATATTTTTTAAATAAGGAGATTTCCAGAACAGGGATTTTCAACATGCATTTACTGGTTTCCAGGAGCTACCAGTATCCCCTTTTAGGTACTACCATCACAGTGACAGATTCTGCTTTGTTAGACAACATGGGCATTCATTAGTTGCAAATTGGTTTGTGGCACATCACTTAAAATATAAACTCAAAACTCTGGGTTCAAAACTTTTTTTTTCTGTTAATCAGATGGTTCACTTACTCAATCCCAGAACAGCTGGTATTCAAAGAAAACAGAAGTATCAACAAGACTTGCAACAATTCAAGTTCTGACATAAAAATTCTCCTAAATCATAAGAGCATGAGAAGCTGCAGGAAGCAGTGGAGATGCAGAGGCTGAGAGTATCCCACCACTTCACGCTGCAGCTGCTTGGGGGGAACAACAGCTATCCTTGCTCCCAGGGAAGTGGCTCTGGGTACCTGCATCACTTTTAGAAGCTCATGTATCAGGGTGTGATGGACAGGTACTGCATGCCAACTTCATTGAAACCTGTCTGTATTAAAGGAAAGAATGAAAGATGTTTAATCACAAAGAACTTAAGACCAAGCAGAGGCTGGATGAAAAACTCATTGAATTAAATGGGAAGACTCTTGCTGGCTCACTGAGGGGTGGATTGGGTCCCAAATTCAGACCTCTGAAACTACTGCAAAATTTGTTTAGTTTTGTGCTTTTGAACATAGCTTTATTTTCTAAACAGAGCCACAAACAGTTATGTGTCTATTTCTGTGATCCTCTTCTCTTATGAAGTCATTCCAGCTCTTCTATCAGTAAACTTGTTGTAATATATTTTATGCTTAGTCTTCAAAGAAATGTTAACATCCACAGATAAAAGGCTCTGTACGCTGTCCATGCCACAACTGTCACCAGAAAACCCAGGAATGATGACACGAGCAGATGATAAATATCCTTACACAAAAAAACTATTTTTCATAGGAGACATAAGCAAACCTTTGTTGCTGTCTCTATCTGTGAACCGAGGGATATGTCCTCCCATGGAGATGCCTTTGGGCCGACTGAGCAGCCGCTGCAGCTTGCTGGTGCCAGGTGACAGAGCAAAGACCCTGCCCATGGTCTGATCCTGCTATGGGGCACAGTCGAGTTGAGCTGGGAGAGTGCTGGTCATTGACTCCTCGCCAAAAACATGCCATTCCCCACATCAAAAAGGCACCAAGAGCCTTCATATAGGTCTGCACTGTATAATGGGCAGATTTTCGGCAAGGGCTCAGAAGACAAATGAAGCTTTTATCTGCTTTCCAGTCCTCTGCAATAGGAGTTTACGTTAAAGCCACTTAACCGTCTAGAGTGCAGCCCTGTGGATTACCTGTTTGTGTGAATCAAGTACATTACCTGATCACATGAGCGCCAGGGATAAGTCTTCTATAACTAGCTTTTCTTTGAAGGGATCTTCAGCTACTTCAGGATTCTCACAAAGAAGTGCCCCAAATGAGGCAGGATTAAGAACAAGCAATACTTCACTTTGGCTTGTGTTTCTCCAGCTTCGTTTATTTAGCTTTACCTGCTTACTTGGTCACTTATTTGTGTGTCATAAAAGCGGGATGAGGAATAAACCTCCCAAAGTATAACCTTTACAGCTTCATGGGTTAAATATTATATAAAGAAGGGAGTGAGTGTTATAAAAGTGAATATCTCTTTCTGAGCAGCAGTTCAAAAGACTTGGTAATTTTACAGGAGTTCTCAATTTAAATTGCTAGAGTTAAAATATTTTTTTACCACACCTTTTTTTTTTTTTCAACCGTTAAAAATAATTAGCTCTGCAGAATATTTTAAAATTAAAATAACGATGAAGGATGTGTAAGCCATTTAAAAACACTTAGAATGATACACCCTGTTTCAGGAAATTGCACATGGAGGAGAACGATCTGGGAAGGCTGAACACTTGAGTCTGTGTTTTGGGGATCTTTTCAGCTCTGTCCCTGCAGGCATTGAGCTCGCCCTTGTCCTGGGGTGCCTTCAGAAACTGCTCTACCACCCCCTTCTTCTCCACTGCCAGGTTGTGACTTTGTCCCCTATTTGCTGCTGAAAGCCACACCTCTGTGGGCTGTCACCTTTATGTGTGGGGAGAGCTTCCATGGGCTGAGGGTCTCTCACCACCACCACTTCCACCAGTGCATCACCTGAAGACTGGCCACTGACATTATCTACCCTCTCCCTGGTAATGTCCAGCAGCCCATCCTTCTGGGATGGTAGCCATGCTACTGTGTATTAAAGGACGCTACTTTTGCTTTGAAAACACGAGTTTTCTTTTGTTTTGCAACTGCTCCAAAGTGGTTATGGGCACTCAGCAGCCTCTGGTTGCCTGTGAGCCCATTTTCCTCTTGCCAGGAGCTGCAACGTAAGACAATCACTCTCAGTCCCCTAACAAGATGTGTTTGACAAGTGGCAATGTGCTGGTCAGGAGTGGAGTTGCTCAGACCAAAGCCCCCAAGACTTGTGAAAAATAAAATCTAAGAGAAAGTACTACTGGGGTTGAGCTGCTTTTCTTGCCACAAAAGCAATGGAAAGCAAAAGGAGATAAATCATAATCCTGCTATGAGGGTATGAGCTAAAGAGTTTGAAGGGAAAATTTCTGGAGGAGGAAAGAATTTTCTGGTCAGAAGGCTTTCCTCCTTTAGGGACCAATTTAAGGTTGATTTTTAACGTTGCTTTAAATCTGAAAACTGTCTGCCATCTGAAAAGTGACTCCAGCACTGTGCCTGCTGCCTTGTCTGTGCCGAGTGGATGCCTTGTGTACACGAGCCCATTTTTCTTGGAAATGCGTTACAGGTTTTACCTCCTTGTCGTGCTGTTCTAATAAAGTCCATTTTGACTGAAAGACAGTACTTCTGTATGGAAAATAACTTATCACTCATCACTGGTAATAATACTCTGCCTGAAGACATTCCTTTGTCAAGCCTGTTGTTGATCAGTTTATTCCCTAAAGGATTATACTTATGACTCAAAATAATGCGACTTCAGATGCTATTTTTATTCATAAAGGTACAATCTACTTTTGAAAGAATCCAAACTTTTCTCTTGTTACGTCTTGTGACAATGAGACACTTTCTTTTCAGAGCTAAGTAAAGCCAAAGTCCAGACTGACAGCATGGACTGGCTGTGACAGACAGTGAGCAGGGCAGAAGGACAAATGGACAGAAGGAAGACTGAGGAAGCATGTTACACACCCCTTACTTGCTCTTTGCAGCATAAAATGACACACAGCTTCACTACAGTGTTATCCCCCAATTCCTCTGTAGATTTTTGTACTTACTGATTTTATACTTACTGCAATTAAAATAAAAACCCCTCAGTCCTATTTTCTGCAGTTCCCTCTTACTTGCTCTGAGATAAATTAAGAAAAAAAAAAAACAACTAATCACCCAACTAATTTTTTCTTATAAATACTGCTTATTCATTAACTTTTTTCTCTGAGAATAACGTCCAGTTATTTGGTTGTATCTCTTTGACTTAAGTAAATAAATAAATAATCTTTTCCTGAACGTTTGTGGTTGCATGGTGTAATTAAATAGAAAACATTTGGCAAGTATAGCTAAACAATGACTGTGCTTCCAAATGCTGATGGTGTAAATCAAACTAAGGAAAACATAATCATGTTTGTTCATTTCATGAGGACAATGAGGGCCTTATGGTTTTATTTTATGCTCAGATTTAGCCTTAATTATCTTAATTTTGTACAAAGAGGATGACCAAACCTGAAAAGTTCTGAAAAGACTTTAGCTTTGCTAATTACATCTGTAGAAAAGCTGAGCTGGGGCCTTTAACCACACAGTTGGCACCATGCTTGTACTTCGGCAATGAGATGAGATGAGAATAAAATGTATCTTTGAACTAAATAGCCAGCATCTTATTCTCAGAAATATAACTACAGTTGTGTAAAATCTGTAAGATACATGAAAGCAAAAAGGGACTTTGCAGAGCCATGTGTCCAGAGCTTTTTGTGAGTCACTTCTGATTTGCACACAGACACACATGTGCTAGGTACTTGAGTTTGCAAAAGTAGATGCTGACTTCGGGCCCCATTTTGTGAAGATCAGTCCCTTAGTATTGAGTTAATATAGAAAGGGTGAAAATCTACAGACAAAACAAAGATTAGAGCTTGAAATGCACCACTTCTCCCTGCAGAAGGAGTCTGCCAGAAAGCACAGTAAATTTAGTCACAGTACAATGCCTATTACTTTCAGCGCATGATTAAAGCTGCTTTCTCTTGGACCACACACACATGTAGTCTGTCCCCCTCTTGGGAGAAATGTCTCCTTCTGCCCACGGCCCAGATGAATTATAGTTACAATCACTTTGAAGATTTATAGAACACACAAAGAGGCAACCTGAAACAATAATGGTATTTCCCTGAAATGCATCCCTTCTCAATGAAGGCATTTTCTCAGGAATATGCAAGACATGATTCCAGTTTTCCAAGACAATGCTCATTATTACAAAGCCATTTCAGAAAGAACTTGAATTTCTCATTGCTCTAAATCCCACGACTTTACAGCCTGATGCAAAAATCCTGAGGAAATGGTGTGAGAAACTGCAGAGTGATAGTCCCTGGGTGATGTTTTCTGGCATTGTGGATTTGTCTCTGTAACATGGCAGAAACTGTCCACGGTGTCCCCAACCCAGCTGCACATTGCCTGTCGTCTCCCCCTTGCCTGAATAGCTATGTCTATTAGGGAATTCTGTGCATGATCTCTTTTCCTTGGGGAGTCACTGGAAGATTTTTAAGCATCATGCTTTAGATCTGGGCTTCTACGCAGAAAAATAAGTTCGCAAAAAGTAGTGTGTTTACCAGCTGGCTGTCTAGGTAATTGAAGTTTGGGCTAGGTCACCCACCTAGGGACCCTAGCTCAACCCACAGTCTTTTTAACCTAGGCTGGAAATCATTCTCTTTGCAGCAAGGAGGGTAATTCTACCATGTCAGTGTTGATAGTTTGTACTTATCTGCAGAAGCTACAATCACCTGAGAAGAACTGCAACACAAGATAGATGTAGGATGTAGCAGACCTGGGCAGATGTATCATACCATGGGTCATGGGACAGTGGGGATGAGACTTTGCCATGGAGAAACCTTGGCTTGTCAAATCCGCATCCTGTTCCCCCAACTTCGTCCGTTGTGGGCACTGGTTTGGCTATGGCGTGCTTTGGGAAACTGTAAGAGTATCCCTGTAAAAGCTGAATCGCCTCCAGTGTGTTGCACAGGTTAAGAAAAAGCTGGGCAGTCCTTCTGGAAGCTCTTGCTACTGGTTTTTATGAAATGCAATAGCATACAACAGCAGTCTATAGGGTTTTAATAAGTTTAAATGAAGTTTTTTCTAAACATCATTTTTTCCAACTTTATTTGAGATGCTTCATATTTTGCAAGTAGATCAAAACCCATCATTTGTAATTTCTTTCCAATTAAAAAAAAAAAAGAGAAAGGATGTATTTTAAGAGAAGTATTTGCTTTCCATGGAAAATTTCAATACTTATTTAAACCCAAAAGGAAAAGGCCTAAACCTGAAATGATTCTGCATTTTGGTAAAAAATATTTTGGTTTGTATATGGTGCCACAGGGCCTCATGGGAGATGTGGTTCGGTTGCCTCATGTCTCCATCCAGTTTAAGGGACAGAATCCTGGATGAAGGACCTGTTTCAGTGTGTATTATGGGCAGCTACTAATATGTTCCTTTCCCTCACCTAGACCCCTGTTTTGTTGCAGGGCAACCTCCTCACAGCAGATGATGGATACATGTGGCATTAAGGTTACAATTCTCACAAGGTCCCATGGCAGAGTTTCTTATTCACTATTTGATGTGCTCAGTGGAAAATGCTAAGGTTTCCATTTTTTCAGGTTTTGATTTTTTTCCCAAGAATGCCAAACTATTCCTAGGGGAAATAAAAATACCGTCTCAACAGTTTCAGTTAAAAGTCTAACAAGTTGACTTCACCCAATTTTCTATATATTTGGCCTTTATACGTAGTTTTTTCTGAATTTTGACATATGTCTATAGCTGATTGAAGTCGGCCTCTTGGGCATATCCCAGGCATCCCAGGAGAGCAGGTGATGTGTATCAAACAATTTTGGTCCTGTTCCTGCAGGCTGTGTTTGGAGTACCTGAATGCAATCCCCAGCTGTCAGGAGGCATTGGGTATTGTCCTGAGGATTGAACCAATACTGTAGTAATGATTAAAGTCTGTCCACTATAATCCTACATCAGGGTTGAGCTTAGTTCTCTGTAAAAATATTTTGACAGATCAGACATGGTATTTGTTTTAAAGTAAAAGAATCTTAATACAGAAACTAATGTAATGAATTAATCATTAATATGTTTATGATCTTTAAGTTACATGTTAACATTAAAAATAAATGTTTACATTAAACTGTTTATGTTATTTAGAGAATGTTTACATTAAAAGTAAAATGTAAATAATGTTAAAATATCATAGTTTATTGCAGTAAATTCACTTATTTGCAGAAGAACTTGAAAATGGAATTCGAAGATTTCTTCAAG